CCCGCCCCCACCCCGGCCCCATGCTCCCCGCAGCCCCTAGCCGCCGCGCCCGGTGTGCAGGGACTGGCGAGCACCCTGCCTTTTCCCTGGATGTGACACTAGCTTGAGCGTTTAAATCATACGGGAATAAAGATTTTTTTTTTCTTGCAGAGATCGAGATGTAGGATCCACCCGCTCACACCTGCCCCTCGCACCGGGTCCTCACCCGGGAGCGATGCCCACTCCTGCCCCAGTGGGAAGGAAACGACTCCTCGAAAACAAGCCTGGCAGCTCTGCCCTGGGCTGCTCCCTTCTCCCGGGGTTGTCGCCGGGAGGGATCACCTGGATTGGCCGGAGCTGGAGACGCGGGCGATTCGCCCAGCAGCGACTTGCTCGGTGGGAGCTGCCTCCCCTAAACGCGGGACCAGTTGGCTCTCATCTGGGCTCCCCAGCTCCGCAGCCCTGTGTGAAGGGACCCTCGGGAGTGACCCCTTCCAAAACCAACGGCGACTGTACCTGAAAACGTTCTCGATATGTACGTGCGGAATTTGCAACCGGCTGCTGCGGAGCGCAGACCTTCCGGCCGCTCTTTCGCCCTTCCCTTTTTGACTCATTTGGTACAGAGACAACGCAGGTTTGGGGTGACTCGGAGGAAAAATGGCGAGATCGGGTTTCAAGTGGTGCGTGTCCCTTTCTGCCCCTGCTCTGCCAGCCCTCGCTCCTCTCGCCCCGGAGCTGACAGCCCTCCCAGCGGAGGTGCGGCGGGACCGGGAGCGCAGAGCCCCGGCGTCGCCGCGGCACGCAGCACCGTCGCCTCATTTAGCGGGGGGCTAGGGGAACGGCTGCAGGCTCCCTGTTTGTTTTTATGTTCAGAAAGTTCCACTTCCAGCTAACGGGGGCTGGGGGAATCCCCCGTCAAACTTGCAGAGAGGACTTCAGGCAAAACCCAACCCAGCCAAACGAAAACCATCGAGAAAAGCGATTTCCCGGTTATTGCCCCCACACCCCTCACCAGATCGCCAGGTATTTGCGAGCACCGTTTCCCTCAGTAACGATTCCCGAATTAACCTCTAGCTTCCAGGGACACAAATTGGCCATTAGAGAGAGGGTTTTATTGCGGTCCTTTCCGCGGGAATATGGCTTAGCTCTGATTGGGAATTAATGGACTTTTCGTTACAGTTTAACGCAAGGAGGGGCTGGTGGAGCTCTCTGGCCGATGCAGACCCCGGGCAGTCCTCTTTCGGCTCGGCCAAGCCGGAGTGCCTCTGCGAGCCTCTGCAAGACAGAGCTTCTGGGGGAAAAAAAAAAAAAGATAAAAAAGATAAAAATAAATTAATCTCCTGCCCGATCCCGGAATCTCTCCCTTTAGTATTTGTTGTTGCTGTTATTTAACAGAAATCCCCCAGGCCAAGTATAACGCTGCAGTATTGAGGACTGCCCTCACATCGTTCTTTTCAGGCTGCTTCTTCGTTCTCCGCAATAATTGCTTGGACAGTAACCGTCTGGAAACCCCCCAATTAACGCGCTCGCGCCCCCGGAGACTCTCCTCCATCCGCGCAGCTGAGAACCCGCAGCGGTGGAGCCGGGGCTGCAAGAGCCGCGGCACTGCTGCTATCCGCAGCCTGAGGGGTTCCTGCGGCGAAGACCCTCGGAGCCTGCGGGTACTGGTAGCGCCCCGGCTCCCCTGGCCGCCCCGAAGTGTTTTTTAGAAAGACTCCCATGCATTGAGTTACTTTGCTTTTTATTAAGTCGTGGAGAAGGGGGGCGGAGGGGGGCTGTGGTGGGGTGAAGGAGTTTGGGAGGATAGAGAGAAACGACGAGGAAAGAATTGAGAAAGGTAATAAAGAGAATAAGGAAGGCAAATCCGCTGAAAGCTTTCTTGGACCAGAAAGCCGAGCAAGCGCAGCGCTGCTCTGAGGGACACTCGCAAAATGGTTTGGAACCTAGTAAATTAATCCATCTCTGGCTGTTTTTAACGACGACCTCGTAGAAATCCCTTCTGCATCTGGGGGGCGGCGGGGCATGGGGAGCTGTTCTTGTCAGATCTGAGCTAATGAAAACGGTGGTGCTGGTTTTGCTCCTGGAGGAAAGAACTGGGGGCGGCGGCCGCCACGGCCCCCCCGCGAGCCATCGCCCCGGGGGCTGCACCCCTCCCCCGCCGCTACCTCCTATCCCCCTGCGCGCCCAGAAACACACACACAGGGGAAAGCTGCGAGTCTCACCCACCACTGCAACGAG